CATGCTGCGCATCTAGGGCGAGGCTGGTCCTGCCACGCTGCTGAGCTGCCCGCAGGCCTTGGAGCCGCAGAGGAGGGTCCCCAGTAATGTCAGCCCAGATGCATGATGATGGGCGTCCCTGCATGCCTTCGCTGGGGTCTTGGAGAGGGCTGGCAGCGCCCTGGCTGGTACGGGCAGATGCCTGGCTTTGCTGGCCCATGCAATTCATGGGGTCGCTGCTCTCTGTTTGCAGGATGGACAACGGAGAAGCCTGCTTCATTCTCAGCAGCCGAAACGAGGTGGACCGCACCGCGGCGGTAAGCCAGGCCTGAGGGATGGCACGGTCGGGGATTATTCATTTCTCAGGCCAGAATGAACTGGGGTGATCACTGCATCTTGCCTCTGCATGGCACAGGAGCATGCTGGGAGGCAGCCGGGGCAAGAGCATGGGGTTGGGGTGCTGAGCTCTGTCCCCTGGGCACCCGCACAAGCTGTGCACCCCACATGTCCTGGGGCAGCTCACCCCAAAACCTCCTTGCCTAGTGCAATCTTACCCCAGCCTGGGCAGGGACTTCGCTGGGAAGATCTTAGTTTTGGAGCCATGGACTAGGGAGGAGGTGGCAGGAGTGAACAGCTCTTGCTGCGGGCCGGTGCCACGGACGCTGCCCATGCTGCGTGGCTCCTGTCTGCCCGTGCCGTCCTGAGCCGTGCAGCCCCACTGGAGGGGTCTTTTCTGAGGTGCTAACATGCAGAGCAGAGGGTGCTGCGCTCCCTCCCCGCTGCCGAGGTGCTGCCTGGCCCTTCCCTCCTTTGGCACTTGGCACTCCTGCTTGTGACGAAGCTGCCGAAGGGTCCACGTGGGCGGGCAGTGACCACAGAGAAACACAGCAGTGGCATGGGGACGGCACAGGGACACGCGACAGCACGCCACCGGCTGAGCCCCTGCGGGCTCACCTTCCCTCTGCTGTCCCAGTTTCCCATCGGCGCTGGGTTTTGGGGAGCAGGGGAGGGAGGTTATCCCCTGTTAGCAGTGGGTGTTAGAGGACCCCTTGCCGTACGTGTCCACAGTGGCTGGGTGCTTTGCAGTTCATCCTGGGTATAGAAGCGTTGGGGAAAATAAGCCATCAGACAAGTACCTCTTGCTCTTCTTCTTGGCTAGGACCACCAGACCATCCTGAGAGCCTGGGCTGTGAAAGATTTTGCTCCAAACTGTCCTCTCTACGTTCAGATCTTAAAGCCTGAAAACAAGTTTCATGTCAAGTTTGCCGGTGAGTCGGAGGGGCTGCGTGGCAGCGGGCAGCACTGCTCGCTTCGCTGGTCTGGACTGTCTTAACCTGCCATCACGGATGTTTCCAGCGCAGAGAACATCACGAACGAGTTCGGAAACTCCTCCCCATTGCTGGAAGATATTTTAGGGCCGCCAGCCCCTTTACCATGATGCACAGTAAAGCCTGCAGCAACGCACCTGGGGCCGGGGGGAGCTGGCTCCGGGCTGCCCCAGGGTGGGCTCTGTGTGGGCACACCAGTCCCATGTGTGCCTCAGTGTGTGTCCCCACGGACACGGCGGTGGTGGCCTCGGTGGGCTGGTGTCCACCTGGCTGGTTTCCAGCCTGCATCGCTGTTTTCCTGCCTGCATTAATCCCATTCATGGTGTTCCCTGTGGGCTGTTGATCAGCTGAAAGCCCTCCCGGACTGGCAGGAGGAGGAAGCACCCAGCCCCCAGCACCGCCCCAAAATTACCGCATCCCTGCGCGCCGCTGGCCGAGGAACCCGGCCGTCCG